ATTCTGAACCTCAGTTCTGTATTAAGAGAATTGCATCAGCGCTCCATCCATCCTATGTATTCTCCTACATTAGGAGCAAAAGCATATCTTTCTCGGGACCAGCAAGAGAAGAGTAAGGGGCAAAAATAGCTGGTTACACTTACACCAGATTTGAAAGTGATTACTAGATTAAAGAGAATCAGTTTGAGTTGTTAGACAGTAGGTAATTGCCCCAAGTTAAATTATCCCCCCAAAAGGATACTCACAGGTTAATCATTATAGCAGTGATGTGTAAAATGGATCACCAGGGGAACTGACTTGGGAACAAGGGAAAAGAAAGAAGAGTATTGCTGGAAACAAAAAAAAAAGCCCTTTTGACAGCTTAGCTGCCTGGTTTCCATGGCACCCAGGACCGCCTTTACTAGAAACCATTCTGTTAGATTGAATTTGTCCCTGTTCACTGGAGGGTGGGGAGTGTAAAGAGCTGAGAATTCAGTGCCTCACACCTCCTTCCCTTGCATCTCATAATCACAAAGGACCAGGCTAGCAGCAAGGTGGGTGGTATAATCTGATCTGCCATATTGAATGAAGACTTTTCTCTGGAATCTGGGGAAATTGGAGTATACCCAGGATAATGTAATGTGTCCTGTGGTCTGGGAATAAATTTCCTCTGCTTTATGTTCTGAGTGAATATAGAAGGAAAGTATGTCCCCCTCATAAAACAAGAAATATGTATATTGAGTGGTGTTAGCACTGGAGAAACCCTGGAGTTTGCATTCTGGAAGCTTGGATGAAAATAAACCAAATGTGTCCATCTCTGAGCTGATACATAGTGCTGTGGGATGCACCTCCTTCCCTCACCCCATGTGATCATACTTGGTGGTGGATATAATACAACTTTAGTAATCAAGACGTATTGGCAGTCCTGTTCAAGCAGAGCCATCATGGGCTCTGCCTTGCAAGGCACTTGTTCTGTGGCAGAATGTAAACTGGGGCTGACTGGAACAGAGCAGGAGCAGATGACAAGATTTCCCTGAGCCTCTGGGCAGGGAGTTGTATGGGATTCTGTGTCTTGTCTTTATGGTTAAGGTAACTAGATCATTTATTGCCTGAGCCAAGACATTTAGTGGAGGGGGTGTTGCTGGTAATGGCAACAGGTCAATAAGTATGGCCTTTCCGTTGATATTGGGATTCTGGCATTAAGATTTTGGCTTGCTTTTATATCCTTATTTGAAATCTTCTTTTAAGAACTTATTTAAGCTCCTGAAAAGTAGAGGTAAGTATGTAAACTGATAAATCGTTTCCATGAATATTGCTGTAGAAACTTACATCAAGCCAATAAGGACCCAGGGCTTCCCAGGTGTCTAGAGTGTGGACAGTTCCACTGCCTGGCTTTGAGACAAAGCATTTCTTACCCAGTGACCTCAAGAAAGTGAATGAGCCTTGCTGGGCCCTCACCTTCATCTTTAAAGGGGTGGAGACAGTGTCATCTGCCTTCATAGACCATTATCATAGGTTATCATACACTACTCTCTCTAGTCCTTGTGCTGAGACTGGAAGAGACCTAGGTGATAACAGTTGATATTGACAGCCATGAGTGTCTAGGGGGAAGGGGGTGTGGTAGCACAGGGTTCTAGAAGATCTGTTCTTGGAGTTACTATTCTACACTAGAGCCTATGCTTGAAACATTCGCAAGTGTTTTAATGATATTGTAATACAGATAATGAAACTGAAAGAATCACACTTAAAGGAGTGAGGATATGGTATATGATAGAACAGGAGCAGAGGTTAGATTACCAGCTCTGCTGCTTCTCTGGGTTCTGTTACTACTGGAAAACAGTGTTTAGAGAATTTTTACACAAAAGTATACCTATACTTGATGACTTTGAATAATTGGTTCTTGTTGCAGCTGATAGTTCTTAAAGATAATATTCAGTTGGGAGATAAAAATAATAAGATACGCTTGTATTTATGATTCATGAGGGTGAAATAACTGGCATCTTCCTGCCTTGGTTCTACCCCACATTCTGTAGAAAGCCTGATGAAAATGAAACTCCTACATTTGCATTCAAACTGAGCTAGTTCTGGGGTTAAGACTGATAATAGTAGGGAGAAATGATGAAAGGGCAAATTCTTTTAAAAGTAATCTGTAGCCAGGTGCACTGGTGTCCGCTTGTAGTCTCAGCTTCTTGGGAGGCCGACAAAATCTCTCGATTCTAGGAATTCCACACTAGCCTGGACAATGTAGTCAGATTCCATCCCTCTAAAAAGAAAAAAGGTGATGCAGAGAAAATTTGTTTACTTGTTACTCCTTTTAGGAGTAAAATTACACTCAATATATTGCTAAATTGCAACACAGATAGCAGGTGGTATTTGATGAGTAGATGAGATGGGGACATCTTCTGAAAAATGCAATATTAGGCCATTTGCCATTGTGTGGACATCATAGAGTACACTTTACTTGTATAGTCTACTGCAGCCTAGGCTGTACAGTGTATGTCTGTGTCTGTAGTATAGACTTGCTCCTAGGGCTGGGAACAAAACAACCGAAGAGAAGAATGATACAAGAGACAGTGTTTTCTTGTTTTTTTCATTCTCTCTTGTTTATGTGTGGGAGGAATAGTACTGGAATTTGAACTCAGGCCCTGGAACATGCTGGACAAATGCGCACTCTCTGAGCTACACCCTCCCCCTGTTTAAAATAAATAGAAGGAGTATACTGTAAAATTTCAAAAACCATACTATAGTGTAAGTATAGAAACCTGTAACTATTGTCATCTTCATTGGTGATTATATGACTATATGTGTTGTATATCTTTATACAACTTGGTTGGAAATACAGTCATATAAAACCAGCATCATCACAAATTAAGATGGCTACAACTATAGCATCACAAAGGGATTGGAATTTTCTAGCTCAGTTGTAATCTTAACAGCACCACCACGATATATTTGGTCCCTCACTGACCAAAGCATTGTTAACTTGGTACATGACTGTATAGCACTGTGGTTTCATTGCCCAGCTAGGGATAATGATGAGCTTAGTTTAAAAACAGGACTGTTTTTAGTTTGTATAAAGTACTTTGGCTTGGCCTAATTTTGAGGTGAAAGCATACACCTTAAATGATTTTTTGAGTAAGAATGTGAGCTGTCACTGGACCTTTCATTCCTAGGTACTTGGGAGGCTAAGGCAGGAGGGTTGCAAATTCAAAGCCAGCCCAGGCAACTTGGACCCTATCTCAAAAAATAAAATAAAATTTAAAAGGTCTGGGGATATGGCTCAGTTATAGGGCACTTTCCTAGTATACGTGAGGCCCTGGGTTCAATCCCCACTTCTGAGGAGAAAAAGTTCTATTTTAGTAATTGAAATAATTCAATGACAAGACAGTGAGTAACGGTCAATTTTAAAATGGAATTTAAATTCACCTTTAATTTTTTTAAAAAATCAGTTTAAATGCACATGGTACAAAAATAAAATTTGCATAGGAAAATAAATAGAAAACTTAAAGTCTTTTCCACTCTTAGCATCTTTCACAACCCCTATTCTTTGTTTTTGGTATATGCTTCTAAAGTATTTTGTACATGAATATGCAAATTAGTATTAAGTTGTTGCCAGTATTGCCACCACCAATAGTGTTGCTGTGAATGTCTCAGGTGTAACGCCAGGTGTCTTTTTAGATCTGAAAGAGTATATATGTAAGGAAACTTATGGGTGTGATATTGCATAAGGCCAGTTTACATTCTTGCCATCAGCAAATGAGAATGCCTGCTTCCCAGCCCCCCCACCAGTACCATGTGTTACCAGATCTTTAAATATTTGCCAATATGATAGAGGGAAATCGCACCTCAGTGTAATTTTAATTTTTTTTTTTTCTTATTAGAAGGGACTTTGATGCTATTTTCTTATGTTTGAGGACATTTGTATTTAACTTTCTGTAAGTTATCCTGTTTGTGTGTTTTGCCATTTTTTACCTATTGGGTGCTTAGTCTTTGCTTATTGACTTAAGGATCCCTTACTATGGTGCAGAAAATTAGCAGTTTGTCTATGACCTGAGATGCAAGGTTTGTTTTGTTTTTAGTTTGTCTTTTTTGTTTGGGTTTGGTTTTGGTTTTATTCCTTATGATAGTACTGGGGGTTGAACCAAGTACCTCACGCATGCTTAATAAGCAGGGCTCTACCACTGAGTTATATCCCCAGCCCCTCAGTTTGTCTTTTGTTTATGGCTTTTGTTTGAGATTTCAGCCATGAAGAACATTTTTACATCGAAATTTATTGATTTTTCATTTATTTAATTGATTTTTTAAAATTTCTCCCACCTGCTTTGCATTTACTCTAAATTTTCATGTTTAAATACTTGATTCCTCTCAACTACATTTTTGCCAAAGTGCATATCACAGATCTGACATAAACAACCATCCCAAGACTGCTCTGTACTTGTTCCTATACATTTTTATTCTTACAGATTTGAAATGTCAATATTGAGCTGGGCATAGTGGCACAGCCCCGTAATCCCAGCTACTCTGGAGTTTGAAGCAGGATTGCAAATTCAGGATAGCCTGGGCAATTTAATGAGGCCCTGTCTCGAAATAAAAATTAAAAATGGCTGGGAGGCCAGGCGCCATGGTGCATGCCTGTAATACCAGTGGTTCGGGAGGCTGAGGCATGAGGACTGCGAGTTCAAAGCCAGCTTCAGCAATTTAGCAAGGCCCTAAGCAACTCAATGAGACCTTGTCTCTAAATAAAATACAAAAAAGGGCTGGGGACATGGTTCAGTGGTTAAGTGTCCCAGGGTTCAGTCCCCAGTACACACACACACACAAAAAGGCTGGGGTTTAGCTCAATGGTAGGTTCAATCTTCAATACTGGTTTAATGAAAGTTGTACTGATAATGAAAGCAGTCGTTTAATTTTGCATATGTAGTAAGTTCTATGAAGTAGAAAAGCTATTTTCTGATTAATGGCTATTTTTTTAATATCAAAGAAGTTTAAAAAAAAAACCATTTGTTTATTTATTTATTTTTTGGTGGTACTGGGGATTGAACCCAGGGCCTCGCACGTTCTAGGTGAGTGCTCTACCACTGAACTACATCCCCAGCCCTTTTTAGCATTTGTTTTGAGATAGAGTCTCCCTAAGTTGCCCAGGCTAACCTTGAACTTGGGAGCCTCAGATGTAGCTGGGATTACAGATGTGTGCCACCATACCCATGATTCTGGGCCATGAACAGTAGTTGTGACCATACTGTGGGTTTGCAAAGTTAGCAGACACTGCTTGATCTGATGGTGGGGTGAGTTTTCTCTGATAGTGTTTGGGTGCTTGGGGTATGTGATACGTTGACAGTTACATTCAACTGAGAATGAAATGTTTGTACCAGTGACTCCTGGTGATGATATGTTGATATTAGAACTTTTTATACACTTTAACAATTTAGTATCTAAAGCAAAATTTTGTGAAACTGCTTCATAAGACTAGAGACATTATTGCATAGTGTGTACCTTCGTATTTAACTCCTCAAGTTGTTCAGAAATAATTCTTTTGGTCCTCAAAGGTCTGCAATACACTGATTAGTTCAAATAGTTCTTTACTCTCCTCTTTCTCCCTCAAATGGTGGCAGCAGCTTTCAAACAACCCATAAAATGATGCCCAGGCCACTTGACTTACATGCAGAGAATAGGACAAGCCATAATTTGACAGTTTAAGAAAATACAAATAGGTATAACTAGTAGGCATTATAATTTCCTATGAGGTCTAAGATGAATGTCTGCATTAAGCACATTATCACCTGTAAACCATTTTTAAATCTTCAGTATGAAAACTACATTTCTAGAATAATAATACACTTTGTGTTTATTTGTATTTCTTTGATTTTGATTTCTGTAGTGTATGAAAAACTTCGGGTAAATGTGTGTTTGTTATGGTCTATGAAGACTTTAATTATTTTTTCTTTCACAGGATGAATATTCCATTTTTCCTCAGACATACTCCATAGATATTAATGGTTATATTCTTGTGTATTCTGTTACATCAATCAAAAGGTAAGGCTTCAGTTTATTTGTTACACATAGATAGCACAAATCCTTTTAAAGGATGATGCTAAATTAGTAGTAGTAACAATTAGACTTGATTATTATACAAAATGTATTTTAGTGTTTTTTTTTTTCTCCTCATAAAGCTGTCAGGTTATTAAGGGGAAAATTAGTGTCACCCATACAAATTCTGTTATGTTAATAGAATAAAATCTTTTTTTTTTCTTACTTTAGGCTGCCTAGATAGTGATGGAACATGACTTGAGTTTTTCTGCTAATTAAAATGGGAAATACAGCTGGGCGTAGTCGGCATACATCTGTAATCCCAATGACTTAGGAGACTGAGGCAGAGGGATCACAAGTTCAAAGCGAGCATAAGCTTGCTTATTAGCAAGACCCTGTCTCAGAATAAAAAATAATAACAGGCTGGGAATGTTGCTCAGTGATTAAGCACTTTTGGGTTCAACCTCCAATACCAGAAAGAAAAAAGAAAAGGTGTGGGAGATTTGTGAATTGGTTTTACATTTTGTGTTTTCACCATATTGATGTGGAATAGATTTTCCAATACAATTTGGGCAGCTGAGTTTGGTAAATACTTTATTCTTTGAATTTGAGAAATAGGGTTTTATGTAATAAAGGCTCATCTATATAAAAATGAAGCCACTGTTTTTGTTGCTAAGGTGGATTTTGGTTCCTCTAGCCATGTATTTATTATGCTATCTCCCATTACCAAAGCTGGCAAGTATTGTCACTGAACAGAATGGAGATGGATATGTAGCAGCAGACCCCTGGGCATTAGGAATAGCTTGTCTTCTTTGACTTAATGGAAATGTCATTGTCAGTGGGAGGGAGTTTGCTATGCAGTCTGCCTTAATAATATATTATTTGCTACCTTAAACAATCTTTGATCAGAAATGTTTTGTTTTCTACCTTCAGTAGAAGGTAGAATTGACAAGAGGTAGATTGACAGAGAGGTAAAGTAACTTGCTCAGTGGGGCATTGACAGTATGTGACAGTGTTGTGATTCATATCCACGTCTACAACGCCACAGTCAAGTCCAGCACAGTCCAGTAGAACTTCCAGCAGTGACGGAAGTCTGTAGTGTGCTACATGTGGCTATTTAAATGGCTACAATTAAAAATTCATTTCCTCAATTACACTAGTTACATTTTGGGGTGCTCAGTAGCCACATGTGGCTGACAGCTGCCATATTGGACAGTGTCTAGGCTCCTCATCGCTGCACACTATCCTGCCAGTAAAAATTGTAGTCTCCTTTTCTCTAGGAATGTGTTACTTAACATTTTTCTCCATGGCAGGGAAACATACTTTGAGGTGTTAAGATTTAACTATAAACTGTTTGGATATTGTGGCCACTCTTGTGAATAGACCCCACACTGGCAGTCCCTGAGAAAGCCTACAAGTGAGACAAAACCAAGGATTAGAACTATGTGTTAAAGAGAACTGGCGAAATGTGAGAAATAGAAAGTGGGGAGGCCACCCAAACATAGATATTATTAGCATCTTGGAGTGTTTCTTTCTGGTCTTTGTTTTATTCTGTGTAGATTGTTCTCTTGTTTATATTTGCTCTCTGGATGCTGTTTTATACTTTATTTTTCATGGTTTCATATTTTTATTTACCATATACATTTTCCCATGTTTCTTACTATTTGAAAACAGTAAGTGGTTATATAAGATTCCTTGTTCAATAGTAGAAGGACACTTTTCTACCTCTATGTTTTATTTTTTTGGTCACTAAACAAGGATTAGATTTTATACATAAAATCACTGCCTTTTTAATTTGGTACCAGGTAATTTACTTTTTGACTTGGAAGAATACCTTAAATAGTAAAACCTTCATTCTTTTTTTCATACTACTTACAAATATTTTTCTAATTTGTGTTATGTGTTTTTATAATTTATTTATTACACACAAAACTCAGTCCAGGCTTCATTTGTTGAATATATTCTACAATTTTCAATTTATATACCTGACATATAATGCCTTGACCAAAACAATATACCAATAATTTGATGAATGTTGCAAGATCAGATTTGATTGTGAATTTTCCATTATTTCTCTGATTTACTTGGGAAAACACTATTCAGGTTTTTTTCATTGTTTGTAAATACAAATTTTTAAAAAATAACATTTGTTACTTTATAAATTATCACTCTGAGGAGTTAAAATAGTGGATAAAAAATGTTCTTAATGTGTTTATTACTTTTTTTTCTTTTTTCTTTTTTTTTTTTTAACAACCTTTTTTGGTGGCCATAGAATAGATGACATTCAAGTTGAAAACTCCATATTTGTCACTGGGGAAAATTTATTGAACTAGATTTAAAAATATGAAAACTTGCTCACTAAGGACTTTGTGTGTTATGACCTAATGCAAAGCAGAGAAAAAAGTCTCCCATGTCATTGCAGTGGTACCTTTGCAAGTTCTGACCATGTTTTTTCTTGTGAAGTAGGAGTGTTCTATTTGAGTGATGCTTTTCATCCTGGTTTAATAAGGATTCTCAGTACATCTCAAACATGAGAAAATAAGGGAGGAGTGCTGTTTGTTTAGTTTTTTTAAAGAAATCTGTATAAAACTATGAAAATGTTGATTTGTTAATCAGAACTATTGTCTTTTTGTTGAATTCAGCCTCTACCTGAATTATAATCATTGTTCATTATTTTGTGAAATAAAACATAACTATCAAGTTATACCTTTTTATCATAAAGTCCCTATAGAATTGTTTCTTTTGACCAAATATAAAGGAAGAATACGTTCCATTTTATAATTTCTACAAATAGAGCCAGGTGTGGTGGCACACACCTGTAATCCCAGCCACTCCAGAGGCTGAGGCAGAAGGGTTGCAAGTTCAAAACCAGCCTTGGGAACTTAGTGAGACCCTATCTCAAAATTTAAAAAAAAATATACTGGGGATGTGGCTCAGTGGTTAAGTGCCCCTGGGTTCAATCCCCGGTACACCCCTCCACACACACACACACCAAAAATTAATTAATCCTAGAAATAGAAAAGAACCCAGATTTGAAAAATGGAATGTTTGGGTTTTCATTTATCCCCTTTGATAATGTTGGATGAGTCACCTTTGTAAACTATGAATTAGGTCTGTTTAAACAAACAACTCCTGTCTGAGGCATTCAGGATATATACTTAACAAACATTGGTTAGCAGGGCATGACAGTGCACACCTGTAGTTCCAGGGACTCAGGAGGTTGAGGCAGGAGGACCAACCTCAGCAACTTGGCAAGACCTTGTCTCAACATAAAAAATAAAATGGGCTGGAGATGTGGCTCCGTTTTTAAACACTCCTGGGTTTCATCGCTAGTACCCAACCACCAAAAAAAAAAAAACTTTGATTAATGGCCCAGGAGTGGTGGCACACACCTGGAATCCTAGCTACTCCTGAAGCTGAGGCTAAAAGTAGCAGGAGAATTGCAAGTTCATGTGAAGGCCAGCTTGAGCAACTTAGTGACCCTGTCTCAAAAAAAAAAAAAAAAAAAAAAAACAACTGGGGTATAGCTCAGTGGTAGAGCACCTCTGGGTTCAGTTTCTAGTTCCACACACACAAAAGTGGTTAATGGGGAAAAAAATCAATAAAGGAGATCATGACTCTCTGTAGTGTTTTCTTTTAAAGCATAAATACATGTTCGGACATTAATTTTCTGGAATCATTGCCTTTGAGACTGAGCTTACTCGTTTATGTTCTGTGTCTCCCTTTCTTATATCACTTGCACAGAATGTGACAACTTTGATCTCCAATTTCTTAAGAATGAGATACTTGTGAAACAGTCTAATTCTGGACTATTTATAGATTCGTACAATTTTCTTCCCCTACTTTTTATTTTTATTTTTTTTTTTTGCAGTAATTTTGGTGCACCTTCTTGCCTTCTTAAGGAGTAGTGTCTTGTCTCTCTTTCCTTTGTGTGTGTTGTTGGGGGGGGGGGGGGCGTGGTTACCACAGAACTACACCTCCAGCCCTTTTTATTTTCTTTTGAGACAGGGTCTCGCTAAGTTGCTGAGAGGCTGGCCTTGAACTTGTGATCCTCCTACTTCAGCCT